ATGAGCCTCTCATATTTCTGCACATTTTGAGAGAATGTATTTATTATTTTTTCTATACTTTTTTTGTCAAGTGATGATTGTATATTAAAAAGGTGGACGTTAGAGAAAATGATCACCTTCTGGAGTAAAGGAAATGTTGCTTAACGGAAAGTGGAATGAAAGTGGCTCCATCTGTACCAAAATGCAGTAGACATACATAGCATTTTAGAAGTTTCAGGTTTCCTAAACGTGAGGTTTCTCTCTTTAATACAACCCACGTTAAACATGACCAGGCCTCTTTGACACTATTGCAGTTGGAAGTCAGGGAACTGACACAGAATTGACTATACTTTGGTTGCTGCTTTTCCTGTTAGTCATAAATTATTCTTTTTGTCTGACTCAGTAAGATTTGGTGTTTTGCCATTATCCAGGCAACTGAAGCCAAGTAAGGTGTTAATTTTCAAGTAGGTAAAAATCTGTTCTAGCACTCTCACAGTTTTGGACAATTATGGTGTTTCTGATGAAATGCTGACAGAGGCCAGCCTTTCTGGAAAAGTCTTTGAGACTGGGTTAAACCCAAAAGTCCAACTCATTGCTGTTGAATTAATTCTGACATAGAGAAGATTGGGTGAGGGAAAAGTAAAAGCCTCTGAGATTTTTGAAGCAAATGTACCCACTCAAGGTAGTGGGTGTTGGAACAGTATTTCCACCCATTAATGAATGATTAAAAGCCAAGTGGTGAGAGATACAATCAAAACAAGTAATTTATGGGTACATGAGTTGCTCCTTGCTTTCCTTCTGTGTGGGAAGACAAGGGTATGTTATTATATAATGGAGAAAATTTCAAGCTAAAAACCAGTGATAGCTGTGGTTGCTGAGTGAAAGAGTGTTTAAAGGTGAAATAAACCATGTTAGCAATGTTCTGTGATCATTGATAAGTATGATTCAAAGGAAAACCCAAGATGGCCTGTTGTTGCTGTTGTTGTTGTTAGTGTTATGGGTTGTTAGTGTTGTGACTCATAGCGACCCTATGTACAACAGCCCTAAACTCTGCTCTGTCCTGTGCCAATGTACTGTCTCCGATACACCCATCCCGATTACCGCAGTCACTGAATCAATCCGCTTCATAGGGGGCTTTCCCCTCCTGCACTGTCCCTCCACCTTATCAAGCATGATGTCCCTCTCCAAGGATTAGTCCCTCCTTGCAACATGTTCAAAGTATGTCATACTAAGCTTCAGAATATTTTCCTTCAAGGGGGACCCTGTTTCATCTTCTCCAGGACAAACCTGTTTGTTCTTTTACCAGCCCATGGTATATCCAATACTCTTCTCCAGCACCATGTCTCATAGGCTTCAATTCTCTTTCTGTCATCCCTAGTCATCGTCTGCTCTCTGATGCATAGCAAGTTATTGATTGAAAAGACCATGGCCTGTAACAGATGCATCTTAATAAATATTCTCTTTTTCTGCTTGTTCTTGATCGATCTGTGTGAGAGGTTTGACTGTAACTAAGGTATGACTTGGGTGGGGGGAGTGGGTATTGAGGCTCTGCTACTGAAAATGGACACATTCTAGGCTTTGCTAGAGTGGAAGATGAATGAGCAACCACCTCAGCATTTGTGAAGAAACAATTTAAATTCTCAGACATGTGGAAAAGAATGTAAATGAATGGTCTTCTGTATCTCACAGCCACACCCAGGGTCTTTCTGTTGAAGGGAAGGGCTACCATGCTGCTCTCTGGAAGCACTGCAAGGCAGATGGATCCAGCCATAACAATAATAGTTATTCTTAGTATTACAAAGAAGTATATTTGAAACAGCACTTAAGGGACTCAGATTTGTATCTGAAATAATTAGGAGTGAATTCAGCTCCAGCGTAGGTGAAGCAAAACACCTGTGAACACCTCCGGATGTCTTTTCTACCATCATTACCATAACAAGAGTGACTCAGTCATTCTATTGTAGGGGCAAACATTACCAGGCTGGTGGCATGGAAGAGTCCTGATGGTGTGATGGTGAAAATGCTGCTGATAGGTCAGTGCTTCGAATAGGTAAGTTGCTTAACCCTCTAAAGGTGAGGCTGGCAGTAAAGACTGGCAGCCTGGAAGACCTCTGCGGCAAGTTCTACCTAGATCTGCAGAATCACTGTGAGTTGGAATTGACTCATTGGCAGTGGGTTTCGTTTTTGGGAGGTTCTTAGACAAATTAGACTGACAACCAAATAAGAACTGTTTTTGTCTTATTATTATTGTCTGCCTAAGTGTATTTGGATTCATAGCAATTTTATAGGGCAGAGAAAAACTGCCTTACAATGTTTCCTAGACTGTACTCTTTACAAAATAAGATCACCAAATCTTTTTCTCCCTCAGAGCCACTGGTGAGTTTGAACTGGCAACCTTTCAATTAGCTATTAAAGCTTTAGCCATTGCACCATCAGGGTTTCTTAGACAAGGACTAGGCAAATATTTCATCTAAATGAGGAAAACTAGGGAAATCTGGTGGCCTAGCAGAGAAAGAGCAGTGCTGCCAACCCAAAGGCATGTGGTTTGAATCTACCAGCTGCTCCAAGGGAGAAAGATGGGCAATCTCCTCTCATGGGATTTACAGTCTCTGATAACCCACTAGAGGTTCAGCTATGCTACACAACAACAATAACCAAAAAGATTATGATTCCTATTTCCATAGAACCAAAGGTCACCACAGGGTACCTAAGTGTGAAGGGATTATCATGTTGTATTTTTTATTCTGTTTTATTCTTTAATATGTTTCATTTCCTTTCCCAATTTGTGCTTCCCATATTTCTGCTGCTAAATCTTATCCTTTAGTATATTCTCATAAAGGAAACTTGTTGTAGTGCAAATAAAATGGAACCATCCTATTATTTACTGAAGTACACCATTTCCTTCTTTCTTTTTTATTATATTTGAAACTTTTAGACTCATTTTGCTGTGTCCCTAAAAGACATAGCTTAGTCTTCTTGTAGTTAAGCTCTTTCCTTTCCTCCTTCTCTCTTACTCAAATATGTTTTCTTACAGCCACTAAATGTAAACAAAATAAAATAAAACTCATTACCATGGAGTCAATTAGTAATCTAACATTCTGGATAAGTAACCATGCCCTTAACTATTTTGCCACTGGATTTCTCATCATATGAAACTCAAATAAAGTTAATAGATGAACACAGGAAAGAGAAGTTAATTTAAAAACTGACAAAGCTATAATTTAATGTTTAATGTTAAAAAAATATTGGATTTAGCCATTGCCAATTATATGCTTGGTGAATTTAATCTTGAACTTGAAGAAATTGTAAAAGGAAATCCCATAGTGTCAGATTTAAATCAAACTAGCATCAAGCATTTCTACTTCCAATTTCAATATGAGACTAATTGCAAGTTACTAGGGTAACACCAGGGCTTTAAAAACTGCACAATGGAATTCCAATTAATAAGATAATAAGAAATAATGACTTTAGACTATTTCCATTTTGCAGTCATTGTAGTGAAATATTATTTGTGCACTAACGTTCATCACTGCTAGAATTCTGATGAGTAAGCTATTTAAACAGCTCTAAAGTTTTCTCCAGAAATTAGTCAATGATTTCAAAAGGAAAAAATAGTAACATTAACAGTGGAAAAATTCTGAACGACCTCACCTTAAACAAGTGATCAAAGCTGACTACCTGGTAATGGAATAACTGAGAGCAGCCATTGGTGATTCTTTTAGAAATGGATGTGATGACTCTAACCCCAAGGAAACTTCTGAGTAACTGAGCCTGAGGGATGTGCTCCTCGCTAAATATCTGTACTTTAAGACAAAAACCCCAAACTTGCCAATGACACGAAATGAAATACCTAGATTTAATGAAATGAAAGTCTAAATTCATTGTTGTTGAGTTGGAACCCATTACAGCTGTTCCTCTAGCAGGTTTCCAGGGCTGTAAATTTCACTGGAGGAGATCGTCCATCTTGCCCTTCCAGAGAAAATGGAAGTTAAATACATGAAAACAAAATGCAACATGTGAGTCTGGGCTAAATCCTAAACCAGGGAAAGGGATATAAATGGATAAATGACTTTTTAGGGTATTGAGTAATTGAATATGAAGGTACATTTAAAAAGGGGTGAGTGCTTGGAAGATTGGAGGGACAGTGCAAGAGAGGAAGACCCTTGATGAGATGGATTGATTTAGTGACTGGGATAATGAGGGTAGGTGTGTCAGAGACCATGATTGGTACAGGAGAGAGCAGGGTTTAGAGCTGTTGCAGGCAACTCGACGGGCAGGCAGCTCGATGGCACATAACAACTTGTTGCCATTAAGTTGGTTCAGACCTCATGTTGCAGAACTCTGCTCCATAGGGTTCTTCTGCGATTGACTTTCTAGGAGCTCCATTAGTAGTCTAAGGTGTTGTGTAAACATAACTTTAAATTTATTGTGAAACCAAAACATTAATTCGACTCATTTTATTGTGATATTCGTTTTATTGCATAGTGTGCAACTCATTCCACAATATTTCTGAGGTATGCTTGTAGAGATAATTCTGTGGGGGGAAAAAACACAAACACATAACCAAACCAAACCAAACCAAACCAAACAAAACAAAAAAACACCCCACAAACCCCTCTAACATTTAAATCCAACTTTAAATAAAAAGTTCTTCAAACATTTTAGTTAAAGATTAAATCTCCCAGGTAAAAAGTTGATCTATGTTTAACATTAAACATTAAAATAACACCATTATCCCTTCTTAACTATTTTTTCCCTCTTGTGTCATCTATTAACAAGAATTGAGTTTCATATGGTCAGTGTTCTGCTGGCAAAATGATTAGAGGCTTGGTTGCTAACTGAATCTTTGACACTTAGTGACTTGAAAACAACAAGAAGAAAAAAAAATGTTGGTGACCGTAAGAAAATATGTTTGAGAGGAGGAAAGCAAAGAGCTTAGCTACCAGAAGACTGACCTAAGCTGTTCAGAGGCTCAACAAAGAGAGCAGAACTTGAGAAAATTAAGTTGTAGGTTTAAGAAAATGAAGAAGGAGAAAAGTGTTCAGCTTCACCGAGTAATAGGATATTTCCATGGAACCATTTTTTTAGTCAGTATGATTATAGGTGCAGGAATATTTGTTTCTCCTAGAGGGGTATTAAAGTATTCCTCCCTCAATGTGGGGGTCTCCCTAATCATATGGGCTGTCTGTGCTCTGGTAACAGTGGTCACAGCTCTCAGTGTTGCAGAGCTGGGGACCACCTTCCCTAAAAGTGGAGCACTGTATTATTGCCTCAAGAGATCTCTTGGACCCTTTATTGCCTTCTTATTTCTCTGGGTCGAACTATTTAATAATCCAGCAAGTATTGCTACCCGTAGCTTGTTTTTAGCAGGGTATGTTATCCAGCCTTTCTATAGTGGATGTAGTGTTCCTGAGGTGCCAAAGAAGTGTTTAGCTTTGGCTATTTTGTTGTGTTTGGGAATTCTAAACATTCGAGGAGTGAAAGATGTGACTTGGTTTCAAACTACTGCTACAGTTGTGAAAATGACAATTCTCTGCATCATATCTGTAACTGGAATCATGCTGTTAGTAAGAGGAAGAAAGGAGAACACAGCCAGGTTTGAGAATGCCTTTGATGCCGAAGTTCCAGATGCCCTACAAGTTACAGAAGCGTTCTTCCAAGGACTTTATGCATATTCAGGCTGGGCAATCATTACTAATATAGCAGGTAAATGTTTTTCTTTTTTAATGATAACATAATTATTAGACTAAACAAATAACACTCCACCACCTTAATTCTGAAAAGAAAATACATTGTTTTGCTAGGATTTTTCTTTTTCTTTATTAGACAGCTATAAGTAGATAGTAAGGTCTCTACAAATGGTGCTTCTATTTTGAGAGTGGAATATTTAATGTGAACATAGAATTGGAGTGGCTTAAAGGCTCCATGACAATTGCATTTGTTACTGAAGAAATTTTACAATGATATTACTCACTAAAAGTATCTGAGAAAAATTTTAGATATAGAAAAACACATGATAAAATAAAAACATGTTCTAATTTTTAAATGGGATCCCTGGATGGAGCAAAGAGTTATGTACTTGACTGTTAGCCAAAGTGTTGGTGATCCACATTTACCTGGTCTTACCTCCAAAGACAGCTTTGGTATCTGCTTCTGAAGACTCACAGCCTTAATAATCCCTATGGGGCAGTTCTAGTGCATCATACACAGGGTCCCCAGGAGTCAGAATCAATTGGATAGGACCTGATAAGAAGTATAATCTTAAGAAAGGAATAAATAATCTGCTCGTGTATGCTTACATATGTGGATCATACTGCATAGATAATTATATAACTTTATTTCATGGACATAGTGATTGATGATTTAACCATTAAAATATGACAATGTTCAATATATATATACAATATTCTATCATGAGAACATTTGATCACTATTTAACCATTTTTTCTTGCTGAATCACAATACTGTTTCTAGTTTTCTCTTTAAAATGTAATACATTTTACTATAATCAGTGTCCTTTGACATAAATCTTTGTTGGATTTCTGATTGCTTTCTTAGGGAAAAAATCGTAAGATAAAATTAATAAGTAAAGGCTGTGAATATTTAGAAATATCTAGAAAAGTGTTACTAAATTGCCTTGGAGAAAGACTCAACCTATATAGCTCCTGTTATTAGATGTGATTGCGTCCTTTACGGCTCCTAGTGACCCCAAGAACAATAGAGCTGAACTTTTCCCTATCCTGTGCAATCCTTTTCATCTCTCCTATGAGCAAGTCTATTCTCACCGTCACTGTGTCAGTCCATCTTTTTTCCCCCCTGATAATCTTCTCCTTCCTTGATTCTTCCCCTTTCCCAGCATGTCTATTTTCCAAGGATTCATCCCTCCTGGCAACGTACTTTAATATGTGAGCCCAAGTTTCAACATCTTTGCCTCTAAAGAGCACCTGATTGTACTTCCTCCAAGACAGACTTGTTTGTTATTTTGACAGCCCATGGGGTACTGAATACTCTTCACTTGCACCATAATTCAAAGGCATTGATTCTTATTCTGCCATCTTCACTCATTGTCTAACTTTCAGAAGCATAGGAAGTAAATGAAAAGACTATGGTGTGGATCATTTGCACTTTAGTCTCTAAAGTGACATTCTTCTCTTTTAACACTTTGGAGAGATCTTTGACAGTGTATTTTCCCAATTGGACACATCTTTTGATTTTGTGACTGCTGTTACCATGTATGTTGTATGTGGCTCCAAGTCAGATGAAAGAGTTGACAAATTTCATCTTTTTCCCCATGTATCACGATATTGCCTATTGGTCCATTGGTGAGGTTTTTTGTTATTTTCGAGTTGAGATGCAATCCTAATTGAAGGCTGTAGTCTTTGATCTTCTGCATCAAGTATTTCAAGTCCTCTTCCTTTTCAGCAAGCAAGGCGTGTCATCTGCATAAAACACATGGTTAACGACTTTTCCTGTAATCCTGATGCCACATTTTTTTTCCATATTCAGTTTCTGGGACGATTTGCTCAGCATGAAGATTAAAGAGATACAGAGAAAGGATACAAGCCTGACACACAACTTTCCTGATTTTTAACCAGGCAGTGCTGTTCCTTTGTTCTGTTAGCACGATAGCTTATTGGTCTAGAAAGAGATGCTTGTGGTGTGAAGTTTAGTGTTCAAAATTACTTCCTTGTATATTGACTTTGTGCCTTGCCACTTTGCTGAATTGGGCAATTAACTAGATCCAGTAATTTTCTTAGTGCTGGAATCCAGTTTGGAAGTCATCTGCAGCAGCCGGGTTGATTCTACAGAGGCTTGTTTGCTGGGTCTGGTGAGGATTAGGGTGGAAGGAATGTTGACTTGCTAATGGGTGTGAGATGATATGATCCAGCCTCCTAATTAAAAACACATTTGGGCCCTTACCTGCAGCCCTTGGGCCTGGTTTTAATTGTTTTTGGTCAAACATTCTTCTACAAGCTTAGAAGCAGGAGTGGCATCCACTTCCAAAATGGCTTAACTCCACAAACTCTATGAACATGGAGAATCGATGAACTTTATACAAGAGTTCAGGTCTTTCGTTCATAGGGTCACTGTGAGTCATCTGACTCAACAGCGCTTAACAACAACAAGGAGAGAGCTCTGTTGGTGTAGTGGATAGAAATTTATGCTACCAAGCCAAAGGTGGGTGATTTTAATCTGTGGTTCTCCGGCCTGGTTTTGATTCTTTTTTGTCAAACATTGTTTGAAGTGGTATAGCACTGGTTTGTCCATTTGCTGTACAGAGGTAACTTGTGATTGCTGTGAACATAAACACTGATGTGTCAAATGCTATAATGGTTACTCATGGTGGACAGTGTTTAGTGGAACTACCCACTAAAACAAGATTGGAAGCAGGAGTGACATCCACTTCTGAAATAACTTGCCTCCGGAAACTCTGTGAACATAGAGAAACACAAATGTTATACAAGCGTTTAGGTCTTTCATTCATAGGGTTGCTATGAGTCATCTATGACTCGATGGCACTTAAAAACAACAACAACAAAAACAACAACAACAACAACAACAACTTTCTTAGAATTTTTGAGATTTCATCTATCTATCTATCTATCTATCTATCTATCTATCTATCTATCTATCTATCTAAATTATATCTGCAAATGTTGTTGTTGTTATGTGCCACCCAGTCATCTGTGACTCATAGCAACCTTAAGTACAATAACTCTAAACTCCGTCCTATCCTGAGCCAGTCTCACTGTCTCAGACAAACCTAAACCCATTGTCCCAGTTACTGTGTCAATCCATCTCATCTAGGGTCTTCCTCTCCTGCACTGTCCCTCCACCATTCCAAGCTTGATGACCTTCTTCAAGGCCTGGTAACTCCTGGCAATGTGCCCAGAGTATATGAGATGGAGCTTCAAAATCCTTGCGCCCAAGGAGCAGCTTGGTTTCACCCTATCCTAGACAGATACGTTTGTTCTCTTGGTGGTCCATGGCATGTTCCATACTCTTCTCCAGCATCAGAACTCAAAGGCATAGATTCTTTGTCTGTCATTCTCTCTGATGCATAGCAAGTAATTGCAAAGACCATGGCCTGAATTGGGTGTACCTTAGTCTTTAGAGTGATATCATTGCTCTTTAGCACTTTGGAGAGGTATCCAGCAAACACTTCAGGTCTTCCTCCATTTCAGCTAGCAAATTTGTGGCATCTGCAGAAAGTAGTCCTAATCTGTAAACAGACGTAGATTTACTTCCTTTTTACCAACTTTGATGTCTTTTTTTCTTTTCTTTCCTTATTTCTGTGATATTTCAAACATGATGATAAATTGAAGCAGTAGTAAAGGGCAAATATTTTGCCAAGTGTTTTAAAAAATGATTTTATTTTTAAAATTTTATATTGGTTTGTGTAGAAGAGCAAGGGCCATGAGGGGAGCACCATATCTGACCTTTACTAACTTTTCAGGGGGAGGCTAACCTTGCCTTCAGCATCAATAACAACACCAACTCCCATGAGGCCAGATATGTTCTCTTATGCTCCCATGACTCCTTCTACTCATCTCAAAACCAATCTTAATTCTTGACTGGGTCCATAATCTGATGTGATAACTCACAGATTATACAGAATCATGTTGGGGGAGCTAAAAGGCTATCATTCAGATTAATAACAAAATAGATTCAAGACAAAATGTACCCTCAAAATGACCATACAGGCACCTCACCCTCAAGCCTCATGACTCTAGGTGTTCCCAGCTTCTCAGTCCTGCTAATATTGGTTTCCCCACCCTCCCAAAGTCCCATCTCACATCAGTTCTCCATATCAGCCATCACTGCTGCTGCAGTCCCAAAGCATATCCTGCAATTCCCAGCCGAGAGAGGTCCTTCTTTTCTGGCTGAGCGTAGCATTCAATCTCTCTTGGTGGGGGGAGAATTCCTCTCTGCAGATCTGCAGTCCTTCAGTTTATTGGTGATTCTCGCCAATCTTCTTGTAGATTGTTGAGACTCACCAATCTTCTTGTTGAATGGTAGATATCCAATTCTCTTATGGATAGGCCAACGATCTCCATTCACATAGTCCCGCCTAATCACAGAGCAACATCAGATAAGGGCTTAGAATAGTTATGTTGAAAGAGATACCCCATCGTTTGCATACAAAATTTGTGTATATTTTGTTTCATCCATGTACATTGTGTTTCACACATTTCTTAATTCACATTGTGTTTTATACGATCATATGCATTGTTTTATAAAATTAGTCATCATTGATCTATGCTTGCTATTGTCCTGACTTTTCAGGTCCCCATTGGATCTTTCATAATTCTTTCACCCCTATCCCCTCCACCCACCAAACTCTGTCACCCTAGTGATTTCCCCTGCTCCCCACCGTCCATCTACTTCCTTGACCCTCGTTACCCTTTTGGACTTACATACATCTTTTTTTAAATTTTATTATTATTTTTGTGTGAGTGTACGTCAAATCAGATCTGACTGGTACAGGAGGAGATTGTCCCTCCTTCCCCGGCAGAGTGTCTGGTGGATTTGAACCGTGAGCCTCTGGGATTGTAGTTGCAGCTCCTTGCCACTATGCCGCCAGAGCTCCCCTGTCTTACTGATTATCCTACTATTTTTTTTTTTTTTACAATAATGGTCTTATATAGTATTGTCCTTATGGGATTGCATTAATTCACTAAACACAATGCTTTTTTTCCTCTCTC